TCTCTCTCTCTCTCTCTCTCTCTCTCTCTCTCTCTCTCTCTCTCTCTCTCTCTCTCTCTCTCTCTCTCTCTCTCTCTCTCTCTCTTATCCCGACCCCGAGTTTAGACCCCCATCTGCTCTTTATGTTCTCCTGTCCTCACCCCGACCGTCTCTCTGTCGGGATCCCTGCTGGCCACCATGCTCTCTCTCTCTCTCTCTTTCTCTCTCTCTCTCTCTCTCTCTTTTATTCCGAACCCGACTTAAGACCCCGATCTGCTCTCTGTGTTCTGTTTCTAGAGAGACAGAGAGAGAGAGAGAGAGAGAGAGAGCTTGAGGGCATCTAATCCCGCAGAGAAAACGCAAAGTTATTATCCACAAATAAAACTGTGATGACTACGCGTTCTATTGGGTGAAAGACCATGACCCCGATCAACGGTCTGACGTATATTGCATATCACTTTCTCCCCAAGAATTTGCACCCTTTTTTCTTTTTTTTTTTCCCTGTCTTTTTTTGCACGGCCGGTCATCTCATTATCCAATCTTTAGATAAGATGGCTATCGTGTATCATCAGTCCTCATCCTGTCAATGGTCGCATTCCGGTTTTGCTAAAAAAGTCGCAGTGTATATCTCCGCCTTTCGGTGGGACATTCTTTCCGTTTTTGCTCATCATGTCGATGGTGATAACCGTACTGATGCCAATAGTAATCATTCCGTGGCAGCAACCCGCAGATGAGCAAATTCGAAAAAACCCTTCATTCGAGCATCGAGATTGATGCTGATCCCCGCGTGCATCATCGAGATGTGCACCGCAATAGCTCTTTTTTTTTTTTCTTTTTTTTTTTGCGCATATGTGTGTGTGTGTGTGTGTGTGTGTGTGTGTGTGTGTGTGTGTACGAGAGTGGTGTTTCCTCTTACACTTCTCCTTTTTGTCGTGGTTCTTTTGTTTCTCCTGTTCTGTTGCTCTCCTTTTCTCTTTCTGAATTCGTCTTTCTTTTGCACTCCGCTCATGCCACAGCCGAATCTTCTCGTGCCGCTGAGGAGCGAGCACGCCAGCACCAAAGACTCAGACAACAACGTTACAGACATACACACATTGAACGCATTGACCCGCACATCAATACCGCCCGCATTTATACTCTTGTACTCATCGCCCAACACATTCTCATCGCTGTTGCAACCCTCGACGAAAGAACAGCCTGTCCTCACTGTGGGGCACATAAATGGGAGCATGAACACGCATGGACAACACTATGTTGCAGGCGGGGCAAAATAATACCTGCCCTTTGGCAATACCCTCGACCTGCAACGTCGGAGCATGACATCATCCACCTGTGGGAAGCTGACACCGCAGACGACCGACTCTTACGCTCACGCTCCCGTCAATTTAACAACGCCCTCGCACTTGCATCACAATCTGTGGAGGAGACACAATACCATCCTGGCGCTTGGCCAGGTATTCTCCGCATCGAAGGCCGGCTTCATCAAAATTTAGGGCCCCTTCTTCTGGACGCTGAGCATGAGTCTGCGTTCACACAAATCTACATCTACGATCCGCAAGACGAACACGGTGCTACACTTCTCCGTCTCAGTTGTCTTAACCTTCCCGCCGAAACCCCTCTCGCAATGATCCGTTCGATCAAACGCGAAAGTTTCACGCTCTTCTCCATGCATGCAACCGCTGGGTCCATGATTTCATCACTGTTTCTGAAATGCCAGACGAGATGATACATGACCCACACATCGTGATTAACCCTGACGCACGTCCGATCGATCAGCACGAACGATGTTACAATAAACCTGAAGGTCTTAAAGAGCTGTGTCTTCTTATGCACAATCAGCCTGCCAATCGAGAAATCACAATCCGCAAACGCGTTGGCGGAGTTGTCCCAATCATCGAAACAAACCGTGCTTTCGACCCTCTTCATTATGTGCTCCTCTTTCCTGCTGGCGAAGACGGGTGGACGCCTGACACCGATGACGACACCGAAACAAACAATCAGTCCGCTACAGCACGAGAATTCTACGCTTTCCACTTAAACACACGGCAAACAGAAAGAACAACGATCTTTCACGCAACCCGCCTTTTCCAAGAATACGTCTGCATGGCATTCACTAAAATTGAAAATGGTCACCTTCTTTACAACCGCCTTCACCAAACGGAAATTCGTGCCGACCTCTACCAGAATCTTCGGGATCATGTTATGCAATATGACAATGCCGAAAATGTTGGTCAACGAATTGTCCTTCCCGGAACATTCACCGGAGGTCCACGCGACATGCACCGCCGATACCAACACGCAATGGCAATTGTCCAAGAATTTGGGGCACCAGACCTTTTCTTGACTTTCAGATGTAACCCGCATTGGCCCGAAATCCGAACTGCCCTCTTCCCCAACCAACAACCGTCCGACCGACCAGACCTTCTTGCACGTGTCTTCAAAGGCTATTTGCGGCAATTGATTCACGACATACAGTCCACGCACATATTCGGTGCTGTTACAACGTATACATGTGTCATTGAGTTCCAGAAACGCGGTTTGCCGCACGCCCACATTATCGTCACTTCAAAAGATGACCACAAAATTGTCACCCCTGAGCAAATCGACGCTGTGGTCTGCGCTGAGCTTCCCACTAATCCTGCTCTGCAAGAACTCGTGCTCACTCACATGATCCACAATCCGTGTGGCATACACAATATTCATGTTCCCTGCATGCATAACGACCGCTGCACACGGTTTTTCCCTAAAGATTTCTCCGACCGCACAATGTGGAACGAAGATACCGGATACCCAATTTACAAACGGCGTGCACCCGCTGACGGCGGCTTGGTCATCGTTCTTGGTGACACCGACCTTGACAATTCTTGGGTTGTCCCTTACAACCCTTACTTGCTCCTCCGGTATCGCACACACTTCAACGTTGAGATTTGTGCATCAACTGCCGCCTGCCGGTACATGTTCGAGTATATTCTCAAAGGGCCGGACCGAGCAATGGTCGCCGAGGCAATAAACACAGAAGATGAGATCCAAGCCTACCAGGACATGAGAACAGTCGGCGCTGCCGAATCATGCTGGCGAATTTTTGATTTTCCTATAGCCGAGCGATACCCTCATGTTTCGCCCCTCCCTGTCCATACTGAAAACCGACAACGCGTGTATTTTCGCCACCGCCAAGCTCAGCGCATCGCACACGCCCCGGCACCCGAAACAGAGATGACGGCATGGTTTAAATGGAATGTCGCACATCTGGACAATCCTGATAACACAAAACCCCTATACAAGGACATGGTCCATCGTTTTCGCTTCGACAAACACACAAAGCGCTGGAGCGTCCGCAGCCGCAGTGCAAACACCATCGGTCGCATACACACTATCCACCCGAACGGAGGAGACACCTTCTACCTCCGAATACTCCTCCTATCACCTCACTCCCGCGGCGCAACAAGCTTCGAACGCCTTCGCACAGTCAACAACGAAATTCATCAGACATATCAATCCGCATGCAAAACGCTTGGCCTGTTGAATGACAACACACAATTCGATGTTGTTCTACAAGACGCAATCCTCGCGTCACCATCAGCCATGGTTCGAGACTTGTGTGTTCACATCATTCTCCACTGTGCTCTCGCTGACCCTAATGAGTTTTTCGAAAACCATTGGCAACAAATGACAGATGACTTCCACAGGAATCTTGCCGGCACAGCTGTTCCACCCTCAATCATCAGAGCGTTGGTCCTCCTCGACATCGAAAGTTGCTTACAAAAAGAAGGCAAAGAGTTAGACGATGTTGGGCTCGCACTGCCACCGCCGGCAGACATAGAACAGGCTAATAACCTCGCCGAAAGACCGTCACGCCAAGGCATCCCGCGAATCATCGATGACGAAATTTCGTACCCCAAAGCAGAAATTTGACACACCCTTGACTCCAATCTCCCGCAATTGCGCCCCTCCCAACAAGCAGTCTTCCAACGCGTCATCCGTGCAGCCGAAAACAGCGAACCACTCTGTGTTTTCGTCGACGCGCCCGCCGGCACAGGTAAAACCTCCTGCTTCATTACAATACTCGCACACATTCGCCTCCATGACCAAGTTGCACCCGCCGTTGCTTCAAGCGGCATCGCAGCTACTCTGTTAGACGGAGGCCGCACTTTCCACTCTCGATTCAAAGCACCTCTCACCCCCACCGCCACCTTCACCTAGGACATTCCCAAACAATCTGCACTTGCACAACTTATATGCATGGCTATTGTTATCCTCTGGGACGAGGCGCCCATGACGCACAAATTCCAAATTGAAGCATTTGACAGAACCCTACAAGACATTTGTTCATCTCCCCCTCCCTTCGGCGGCAAAGTCGTGGTCTTAGGTGGCGATTTCCGACAAATACTCCCCGTTGTCACCAAAGGTACACGTGCACAAACAATTGATGCGTGTATTAAAGCTTCCGCTTTGTGGAACATTGAAACTTATCAATTGGACTTTCCCCGACCTCCAACATAATTTTGAAAACCCCCAATGGCTCGCAGAACGTTTAATCCTCTCATCCAAAAACAAATCAGTCTCAACCCTTAACAACATCATTCTCGATTCGTTTTCTGACCATGTCATCACCTCCCTTAGTGCTGACTCGCTACTCCCTAACGAAGATTTCCCCGATATTCCAATCGACACTTTAAACACATTGGATCTTCCTTCCCTACCCCCGCACATTCTGCGCTTGAAAAAATATGCCCCCGCCATTCTCCTACGAAACATCGCAATGAGAAACGGCCTTTGCAACGGAACACGGCTGATTGTCGACTCTGTCACAGATAACAGACTTCTTCACCGTCGCATCCTGCCATCCCTTCGTCCGGCCTTCGCGATCACTATCAACAAGTCCCAAGGCCAATCTATCAAACGTGTTGGCATTGATCTTCACCAGCCCGCATTTGCACATGGCCAGCTTTATGTCGCTGCATCTAGAGTGGGTGACCCTACCCATGTACGCTTTGCTCCGCCCTCCCCGCTTAACCACACAACCAACATTGTGTACAAAGAAATCCTTAACTGAACGTCCTTCCCAAACACTTGAGATACACAACATTCCCCCTCTCCCGCACACATACACCGCCCATTCGTCGGCACCAAAGACAACGATAACACACATTGCTGCCTCCATCAACAATACCAATCCACACCCTCCATCTTCTTCAAACTACATCTGGAAACGGGGGAAAAAGAAACTGGCGGAAGTGCGCAATCTCGACAACGTCTTTAACCGGTTTGCCCCGCTTCTGTTTTTTCTCTGCGCCTCGCCTTCCCCTTGCTCTCCTCCCTTTCTATTTGCTCCTGCCTTGCAGGTACCCATGATGACAAGCCGCCGCACAAGAAACCGAAAGCATCGTCCAAACTGTTGTCCTCAACAAGTTCGTCTTCGAGATCAGCACCAATGCTCAGAACAACGCCTACAAACACAATAATCGCGACGTCGTCAACTGGCACCACAACCTCTTCTGCTGCAACTGCAAAGACAAGTGCCTCAACATCAGCGGCTACGACTGCAACATCGACTACAAAGACAAGTGCCTCAACATCATCACTCGCCGCCATGTCGACGATTTCATCTCTCGAATCTGCAACACTGCCTGCAACAACGAGTGCAACTCTTCTCGCTACATTGATGACAGCAATGATGAGTGTCTCAACATCAACGACTACGACTGCAACTATAACTACAAAGACAAGTCCCTCTACATCAACATTTGTCACCACATCGACGATTTTGTCTCTCGAATCTGCAACGCTGCCTGCAACAACGAGTACAACTCTTCTCGCTACATCAACGACTTCATCTCTCGAATCTACCACAATGGTTGCAACATCATCTCTCGATTCTACCACAATGACTGCAACGATGACTGCAACTCTTCTCGCTGCGTCGGCTTTATCCCAAATTCCTTTTGACGACGACGTTCTCGCCCACATCCCACTCCCGTCTCCTTCCTCCTCCTGTCGCAGCCTATGTTCAACACATCCACAATCCGCTCCTCTCACCATTTCCACAGTTGTCCATCCTGCTGCTTCTACTTCTGCGCTCACCACCGCCCCTGCCCCGTACGTCAGATGGGATGAATGGCTGCGATTACTAACCAAAGACAACATTGAACATATCATCACACAGAGATCCAGTGGGAAGACTTCGTCACGACTGATCACGCTGCCTTCTCACCCCACCTCTATGACTTCTTCGCCCTCTACAAACACAACCGAATGTAGTCTCTACAGCGGCCTGACCCCTCCCCCGACATCAACATCCATTTCCGCCACGCAAAAACATTCCTTCTCAAACTCGTCAACAATGACTATAACCGTCTGCCTTCACCGAGGACGCCCCGCCCGCAATACCAACATGAACGTATCACTGCACCGCACCATAAATACACTTTCATCACCGCCGCGCCGCCACCGCGCCAAGCCCCTTTGCAACCTCACACATCGCACGACGCCACCCCACTCTGGTGGCTTCCACTAGAACCATGAGGCGCCACTACTTCGACCGTTTTCATTCACCACCTCCTCGCATCGCGCCATACACTCCATATTTACAACATCTCCCACCTGCCTCGCACATGGGAATACCTCAACGACCTCATCTTCCTCCACCATCAAGAAACACAGCGTCCCCTCCCTCCATTTCCCACATTCAGAGCGGACATCATT